CCCGATGGCTGTCCCCCCAGTCTCTGGCACTTAAAAAAAGAAAGCCTCTACTCATGGAAGGAGCAGGGGCTGTGGGGGCTTCCGCCTCTCCTGGCAGAGCCCCCACTGGCAGCATGGGACAGTGGGGGGCAGCAGGGCCCAGGCTGGGGCTGTGCAGCCAGTGGGGGAGGATACTGACCCAGATGGGCAGCTGATAGTGTTAGTGAGAGATTATTTTCTGCTCCCGCCTTGCCAGTGAGTGTGGGGGGATGGGGGAATGAATAGGGTGTGGAGGGAGCGAGTAGGGGGCTGGGAGAGCAAGCAGGGAACTAGGGGAAAGAATGGGGGTGGAGGGAACAAACAGGGGGTTGGGAAAGTGAGCAGGGAGCTAGGGGGAATGAATGGGGGCAGGGGGAATGAACAGGGCCTGGAGCCAGGCCAGGCCTTCCCCATGGTCCCCTCCCCTTCCTCCTCTAGCCCCACACTCCTCTACTTACCTGGCACAAAGCCAGGTCCAGGTCCCTGAAGCTTGCATTGCTGCCTGCCCCACACAGGCAGGCAGCATGCTTCAGCATCAGGACAAGGGCCAACCATAGAGATGCTTTGGCAGCTAGAACATCTCTGTGGAGGACCTATCCTCTGGTTGCCTCAGCATGCGACCTTGCCCTGCCCCATTTTTTTCACTCTGGTTTTTTTTTTTGGACCCCTGAATATCCAGGGGTCTAATGTTGCCCCTGCATTGCAAACTTGCAGTATGGGAACCTTTTCCCATTCCTACATGTGCCTTTTGCAGCATCAGGCTCAGAGAGTAGTAATCAGTGGCTTTAGATGCTGTCTAGGTGGCAGCCGGGATCAAATTGGCTCGATGTCTAGTTGGCAGCTGGTATCAAATGGAGTGCCTCAGGGGTCAGTCCTGGGGCTGGTTTTGTTCAATGTCTTCATCAACGATATGGAAGATGGCATAGAGTGTACCCTCAGCAAGTTAGCAGATGACACCAAGCTGGGGGGAATAGTACATAAACTGGAGGGTAGAGTTAGGAGCCAGAGAGACCCGAACAAATTGGAAGATTGGACAAAAAGGAATCTCATGAGGTTCAACAAGTACAAGTGCAAAACTCCATGCTTGGAGGTTTTTATGACCCAGCTAGACAAAGCCTCGGTTGGGATGATCTAGTTGGGGCTGGTCCTGCTTTGAGCAGGGATCTGGATAAGATGACCTCCTGAGGTCCCTTCCATCCCTAATTTTCTATAATTCTATGATTGAGTGCAGACTTAGCAAATTTGCAGATGACACCAAGTTGGGTGGAGTTGTGTGGACTCCAGAGAGTATGGCAATTATTTTACCTTAATGCCTTTATCTGGTATCATTCATACATTCTATTAATGTCTTAATAACCTATGCCATCTTTTTTGTGTGGGGTTGGTAGAGGAGGGACAGTTGGAGGGGAGGGTGAGAGCTTTTTACCCTAAATTACAGTCATATTTGAATTTATTCCTCAGGCTGGTTCTCCATCATAACTAAGTGGGGTGGGGTGGGGAATAATAATAAAAAAGAAAGCCCCAGAAATCTCTATAATTCATTCTTTTCCTAATTGTATGAAATGTATTTCATAAAGTAAGATATATAGTTTTATGCTCTGTGGATAAGTCGCTTAACCGCCCCCCCCCCAATATATATATATATGAAAAGATTTTGACTATGAATTTAAATAAAAGTAGTTGTTTTTTGTCCTGTGTGTTAAGAACTAACAACTTCTTTTGGTTTCACTTATATTTGTTTGTGCTCAGCACTTCTGGAAAGAAAATCCCTCATTTAAGCTATAATCCTGCAGGCAGAAATGCATATGCTTATTTTGCTTCAGTGAGTTGACCTACTGAGGTCAATGGGAAATATGTCCATAAGCCTGGGAGCAGGTTTCATTTTTGCCGATATAGCATGATGGAGTTCTTTGAGTTCAGATAATAAAACATAAGTGCTTAAATATGGATTCAAGTATCTATTTCATGCTTAAGACTGAAAATTGGAGTCAAAATACACTATATTATGCACAAATCAGCAAAAGATATTCATGAATCTATGGGTAAGTGTGCTCTTAAAGTTATGGTTGTAATTGTGATCACAATAACAGCACATATAAATGACCAGTTACACATGAAAGTGTTCACAGATTCAGTAACAGGAAGAACATAATTATTTGTACATAGATCAGTACATTGATATTATGTCACTGTATGTGTGATTGATAGAATTTCTGTGTCTTTGTGTGCTCACATAACATTTATATCTGTGTTTGTTACAAAAATTAAACAACAGATACATACATCTAAGAAAAAACAGTGTTCACGAAATCTGCATAGGCATTAGGGATGTGCAAAGCATCGGTAGCCAATTTGATTTGGAGGAGATATGGCCCAATTCAGGGACCAAATCTCTGAATCTGAAAAGAATTCAGACACCAATTAAAAACTCTGAATCGATTTGAGACATCAGAATTGATTCAGAAAAAGATTTGGAAAAGATTTGGCAATTCAGCCATAGACTAAACAAACAGCTGACACAGGTACCTCCAGCTGGTAAGTCTGCTGGGGTTGGGGGAGAGGGTAAGGAAGAGGCGTGGGCGAGGGAAGGATTGGGGGTGAAGCAGGGACAAGCTATCCAGCCAGGGCGGGGGGCGTGGGACTCAGGGAGGGGGCCAGGGGGCATGGGATGCGAGCATAGCAGTGCTCTGAGTGGGAGCTATGCCCTGCTGCCACTTGCCCACCTGGGGTTGCAGGTGGCATGATATAGGCATGGCCCACTCTGGGCAGAAGATGGCAAGTGGCAGCAGGGCATAGCCCCCGCTCCAAGTGCTGTTGTGCCCACCTCCCTGCACCCCACCACCCTGGCTGGGTAGCTTGCCCCAGCTCCAGCCCCAATCCCTTCCTCCCGCATGCCTCTTCTCTCCCCGCACCCCCAACCCCCACAGATTTACCAGCTGGGGGCAGCTGTATCTGCTGCCTGTTTAGTCTGTGGCTAAATTTCTGAAGTGGCACCAAATCTTTCAGATCTGATTTGGCCAAATCAAATAGGGACAGCGATTTGAATCTCCGAATTGAATCACTGTCCTCCAAATCAGAATCCGAAGCGAATACTTGCCGCTTTGCACAGGCCTAATAGGCATGTGTACAGTGAACTTGCATTTTGCCCAGGGTTTCTCTTTCTCCTTCCTTGAAATGCCATTGTATATAGTAGCCCAGATTTTCTAGTCTGCTAGCAAACACGTCACTTCATTCAAAGCAGTGAAATGTCTGTAAAAGATATGAATGCATTCAGTAATTAAAACAGATGGTAAATAAAAATAATAATTATATTAAAAAATAACCCTTTAATTGTCCCATAGATCTTTTTTTGTTCGTTTGTTTGGTTGGGGGCGGGGGTTTGGTGGGGGGGGGTTGGTGAATATCCTGAAAGCACAGAGCCCTAGGAAAATTCTGGAGTGGCAGAACTGCTTAACATGTTTGAAAAATGAAATTAAAGAATTAAAAGATAATTATTCTTTATTTCTTCTTCTTGTTTTCTTTCTTTCCTCTGCCTTTTTCATAGGCTCTGTAGCCACTGCCTGTCGTGATCCTGGTGTTCCTATGAATGGAACTCGGAATGGAGATGGAAGAGAACCTGGAGATACTGTTATTTTTCAGTGCGATCCTGGATATGAGCTGCAAGGTGATGAGAGAATAACCTGCATTCAGGTAGAAAATCGATACTTCTGGCAGCCCAACCCACCAGTCTGTATAGGTAAGCAGAAAACATGAAAAAATTGAGAAGTTGTGAAACCTTTCTTACTGGTAATCAAATAGTACTACAAGCCTTATTCCACATATAGATGTGTTATTTATTTACCTTCAGAAACTAGTGGAACTAGTTCCATGGTGTAGTATGCATGTGACAGATCACTCTGCAATAGGCCTGATGGGTGCTATTAAGATCTTTCCTCCTCAGTCATCACTATAATGACTTTTATGTTATCTCCTACAGGCCACTTGGTTTATAATTAGATACCCTGTGGCAGATGAAGCATAGAATCATAGAGAAATAGGTCTGGAAGGGTCCTTAAGAGATTATTTAGTTTAAAACTTTGCTCAAGGCAGAATCTTTTCGGTGTAAGCCAGAAATGTCTGTAAATACCTAAGTTACAGTTAAAAGCTTCCAGTGGTAGGTATTCTATTTTCTTAGGTGATCTGTTCTAGAACTTAAGCACCCTTAAAGTTAGAAAATTCTTCATACTATCTAATAAGATTGGTATGAGGGCAAAGACACCATTAACTTTGGTTTCAAACAAAACCTTAATTAAACCATGGGGAAGTTCCAGAGGACAAGGATAGGACTAATGTGACAGACTTTAGAAAAGATAAATGGGATAACTTGGGTAATGATAGGCTAGTTAGCCTGATGTTAATATGGACAAAATTATGGAAAGACTTTTATGGGGCATGTGAATAGATAGCGCTAAGATAGTACCAATAACCAAAGCTAATGGTTTACCCTCATCCCAATCTTATTAGATAGTATGAAGAAAGAAAGCTAGCCAGCATGGTGTTATGATAATCTTATCAAAGGAAGCTATATTATTTTGATAACATCTTGTTGATAAAATATGCTTATATATCTCCAACACATTTGGCTCAGTCCTGCGTGTCATTCTGATTACACAAATTAATGTGGCTCAAAATAACTGGATTGAAAAGCAGATTAACACACAAAAAAAGTCATATATGTAAAGTGATTATCTAATAGGTTGTTTCTAGTGCAGTTTCTCCTTAGCTTTTTCATCCTTTCCCTGAATGCACTCTGAATTTCTAAACTTGGGTATAGGCAATTGCTGCTCTGGAGTTTCCATATTTGTGTGCACAGAGATAGTTAGCCATGTCTAAAACCTAAAATCTAAGTCAGTCTAAAATCAGGCAGAAGATAGGGTAGGGTAGCAACTTCAAAAGACTAACTCTTAAAGAGGCAAAGAAGTACAACTTCATCAGATGCTACAAATGGACTGGCAGAAAGAAAAAAATATATATAAAAGGGTACAAGACAGGGGAAGGAGACGCTGCTAAGACAGGTAATACCATATTTACTCAAATGCAAAAGAGGGTTTTTTTCTCATTTAACATGGAGGAGGGGGGGGGGGAAGCTCCTTATCTTGGATCTGAATATGAGGTATCAGGGACAGGCAGGTGACTGCTGTGGCTTAAGCTCTGGCTTTGGTCTCAACTGAGGGGAGGAGGATATGTGGTAGAAGGGGATCTGAGGCTGATGGAGGGTAGGCACAGAGGGGACAGAGGCAGCAGGAAGGAGGCGCAAAGGGGTAAGTGGTGGGAGTTGACAGGTGGCATGGGGGAAGGTGTGGGAGCCAAGGGGAAGGGGTCAAGCTGCTTGACCCCCACCCCCACTGCCTGCCCCACACCTCTCCTAGTACTTGCTACTTTACTATCCCCCTGCCTGTCCCACCATGTGCCTCCACACTGTGTCCCCCATTGCCCACTCCTTTACTGCCTCCCCCCACTACTTGACCCCCTGCCACTGCTTTACTGACTGCAGCAGTGGTGGGGGGACAAATTTAAGATGACCCTCCAATAATTAGGTTCTACACCTGGAAAATAATAAGCAATTTATACATTTTCCATATAAAGAATCTAATTATTGTGGTGCTATCTTAAGTTTAGGATTGTCTTGCATTTGGATAAATATGGAAGATAGATTAGATCAGTTAAGATGAACAAACCAGCTAGAGGGACACCAAAAGAAAGCGTCAAGATAACGGAATAATAATCCATAGACTCCATTGCTGGGATAAGAGTTAATACAATTCAGTCTGTAGCTGATTAATTTTTCTATAGTTTTGTAGAAGCATTCTGTTGTCCTTGTCATGGGATTCCTATTGTAGCAGGCTGGAATGGGCTTTGTTGATTTGAATGGGCTTTTGGTTGGGAATTGTACTGTAGATATAAGAAACCTTGTTGTAGATCTGCAGGCAGTGGGAATAGATTCATTATTTATGGGCATGTATTACTTATACACTATAGTGTATAGATGTTATCGGGATACTTATAACTGTTTCAAAATTTCCTTTTTTTAGTCACGAGCTTTCCAAATTAGTTTGAACTGCATTATCATTTCTCTTGTAGATTTTTTTTTCCAAATAGGAGGGATATTAGGATATATTGTGCCCATGTTCACACATAGAATGATCTCAGACTGCATTCTTTCTCAGGCTTATTTTCATCATGATTTATTTTTGTGGTGAGGGTTGACATTGTTCCATAAATAATATCACTTTGATGGGGGAATGAAATGCAGGAATAATTCTCAAGGTCTATTTGCTCTAGCATGCCCTAGTTTATTTATTTATTTATTTATTTATGATTCATTACATCCCAGAAGTGTTTTCTTCAGGCTGCTCCTAATATCCATGCTGAAACCTTTGATAATGCTCTTACAGGGTGATACTGTACTTCAGACTATTCAGTAAATACAGTTTTAGGTGTTTGTCCTCCTATTCTTCTGCACCATAGCAGACTATGTGGAGAGGCCTGCATATCAAAGGTATTAGCAATAGGAAAATCACCAAAAGCTAAATTGTAACTTAGCCATTAGGAAGCTTTAGAGGTGTAAAAAAATATGTATTTTATTCTGCATGTTTTGAGCCCCTGTAATTCTATCTTTTTCAGGATTAAACATGTGATTATTGACGTTTTAATGCAAAATAGGTATTAGGACTGTATACAGCTGGACTAGCATACCAGATCCAGTTTGTTTCTGTTTAGCAAAGCCTAAATTATAGGTACCTTTCCCCAGAAGTGCAAATGTAGATGCTTATTGTCCTTATACAGTTATTTAGGAGATATCCAGATACAGTGGCGATGCATAGGGGGTGCATGGGGGTGCATGTGCATCCTGTGAGAGCACTGGTACATCCCCTGACCAGCTGCACTTAAGTGATGGGCAGGAGGAGCAGGTGGGAGTGTGGTGCCCACCCTGCAAGTGCTGGCCAGTGGAGCATTGTTGTGCTCCCAGAAGTGGCCGCAGCCACTCCCGGAAGTGGCTGCAGCTATCGGTTGCAGCGATCGACTGTCTTACTGTTGGCTGCAGGGGAACTCTGTCCCCCCCAGTCGCTGACTGGTCTCTGGGGGGGCCACGTGCCCTGCCCCAACTAAGGTGGCACCAGTCACTCATGTCCAGAAAGAGATTCAATTTGACTGAGTTCAGGTGCTCTGTACAAAGAAAGGGGAGAAACAGACAATGCACAACTCTGCAAGCTGAATGGCAACCAGTAAGAAATACTAACTTCAAAGAGTCTGATTTCCTGCCTCTGTCAGATCTTAGGGACCTGAGTAAGGCTGAATATTAAATGTCTCCATTCACTTGCAATGTATGTCTATTCCCACTTCTGAGGCAGGAGCCGGACTGACTTTTGGTATTGCCCACCTTTGTGTCTAACAGCATATTGATTAGAGAGCTTGCCCAACAAGTGAACACCTAAGTTCTAGGCCTTCCTCACTCAGATGAATTTGAGCCCATGTCTCTGGAGATTGCCTTAACCACCTGCAGAATAGGCTATATAAGAGGATGATCTATCCCTGTTGTTGAGACTGAGCTATGGAGTAACCAAGAGAGTCACAAAGCCAGACAGAAAGCAAGAGGCAGCATGGTCTGGTGATAATGATTAGAGGGGTGTGAAGTAGGCCGTATTCAATTCAGATTCAGCCCAAACCAGGGGACAGTGACTCAATTCATTGATTCAGATCACTGTCCCGATTCGATTTGGCCAAATCAGAAGATTTGATGCTGATTCAGAGAATCTGCGATTTGGCCATAGACACAGCTTTAAATGTTTTGGTTTTTTTTTCTAAATATGTAGCGGTACCAAGCACAGCTTCTAAATGCTGAGATGGTGGGGTGGATGGAGTGTCTCATAGGACTATGGGGGGGAGGGTTACCACAAGCTCAGCGGTGGACCAAAGTGGACCAGAAGTACTTCCAGTCCACTTCCGGGTCTGCTACTGAGTATGTGGGGGATCCCCCTGCATCCCTCACAGCTCAGTGATCAGTCATGTGGGGATGCTGGGTGCCCCCCCAGACCCAGGAGGCATCAGTTGCTGAGCTGGGGGCCAGGGGAGGGGTCCTCTGCTTGCTCCGTGGCAGACCCAGAAATCGACTGGAAGTGCTTGTGGTCCACTTCTGGGTCTGCCACTGAGCGTGCTTGGGACCCTGCCCACACTCCCATGGAATGCTCCATCTGCCCCACCATCTCAGTGTTCATGAGCTGCCTGCTACCTTGAGGTATGTAGAAAAAACATTTTTATCTAATATTCCTGGCATGTAAAACATCATCTTTAGGTTTCATACTTTATAAGCTATTGAAACTAATGTGGATGGTCTCAGCTCTCAAATCTTTTTGACTCTCTGAAGATGCAAGGCAACAGCACTGTATAAATTTAAATGAAAATCATGTTTTACAGTCTCTGTTCTTCTTGTTCTTGTTCTTAGAATTACAAAAACATAGAAAATTAGGGCTGGAAAGGACCTCAGGAGGACCTCAGAAGGTCATCCAGTCCAACCCCCTGCGCAAAGCAGGACCAACCAGCCCCAACTAGATTATTCCAGCCAAAACTTTGTCCAAAAGTTTGGAGATGAGAACCGCCACCAGTCATCCTGGGAAAAGTATGACAGCATTCATGGTCACAGGCTCCAACAGGCTGGACGCTAAAATGAACCCTTAACCATCAATCAAATATCGCCCA